CTAATTATGATGTAGTAGATTTTGGATCAGTTACAAAATTCTATATAGATTAAGTTAGAAAAGTATTATCAAGTACTCTTTTCATAGGGACAGCTGAACTTAATAATGAAAAATTTTTAGTGGAATATGTAGAAAATGATTGTTTTTTCTAAGTCTTCTTAATTGAATCAGAATTCAATTATTTCTATAGCCATTCTTCTTCATTTTTTGTTTTTGCATTATTAAATTCCATTTATATTTAGTTGATTAGTTTAGCATCATTCAATACATTTTATTCAACAATTTTTTATTTAACATCAATAAATGTATTGAGCTCTTTCATATTTTTAAGTTTATCATTAAATCTCTAATCAACTCGTTATTTTCTATTCTACAATCTTATTTATTTAATAATTACTTAAGTCTCTTTTGTGATTTTTCAAGTAGTTTTGTAGTAAGTTCTTAAATCTTTTGTTTTCTATCTTCCTCTTCTTAAATTTTTTAAAAATAATCTTTTAATCTATCCATTTACAAAAACTCTGAAACTTTTATGGACATTATCAAATAAAATTTAATTATAATTTTCCTATTGATATTTTACTCTTATAATAAAAGATTTTTATTATAAATCTTTAAATAATCCCTTAGAAACTCTAACAATCTTTATATTTATTTTGAATTCTAGTTTAAACTAATAACCTAAATTAATTTTTGAGTAAATAAATCTTATTTTTTTAAAAATGAAATAAATTATTTTATATATTAAATTGTTAAGCAAGATAAACAATTTTTCAAAATTCTGTATGAACATAAGACCAACCATGAATATGAGATGATGGTTCTAAATGTTCTTATTAAAAAAGATTCTAAACATTTTATGTATTAATTCGAATCTTTCTTGTTGGTTTAGGTAAATCCAATTCTTTATTTTTGATCTTTTCCCAATCAACATCTAAAAAATAAGGATGTTACTTTATTTCTTTCGAATCACCTACTCCTGATCCCAATCTTTTTATTGGATTTCTTTGTAGAAGCTATATAATGAAATTAATAATTACAGATTTTATAAGATTTCTACATTCAGGTGAAATATATGAAGGAATTTTAAGAACAGCATATTCAATATTATGAAAAAGTTATTCTTTTTCATTATCATAATAAGGAGGCACTCCAACTAAAAGTTCATACATTACAACTCCAAGTAAATACCAATCAACTGCTTTTCCATGTCCTTATCTTTTAAGCATTTCAGGTGCCAAATAAGCAACAGAACCACAAAATGATCTAGCTCCTTAGCTTGCATCAAATATTCCCTCTTTTGAAAGTCCAAAATCAGTAAGCATAGCATGTCCATCTGCATCAATAACTATGTTTTCTGGTTTAAGATCTCTATATATAATATCTCTTTAATGTAAATCTTCTAATGCAAGAATTATTTCACAAATATAATTTTTGACTAAATCTTCTGGAAGTCTTTTTTTATCTTCCAAAAGTTGTCCCATATCTCCTCCAGGACAAAAGTCTAAAATCATAATTAATTTATCCTAAGTTTAAAAGGCATATCTTAACTTTACAATGAAAGGATGTGAAGTTACTGATAATACATTTCTTTCAGTCTAAGCATAACGAAATAAATTATGTTCTATATTATATTTATTATAATTACTTAATATCATAGATTTATCTAAAACTTTCATTGCATATAATTAATTTTATCTTTTAACAAGATAGACTTAACCAAAACTACCTTTACCAATTAAACCTAAAATCTAAAATTAAGATAAAGTTATTTCCTCCTCTTCTTTAATATTTTTTTAAGATTCAGAATAATTGGTTGATAAGGTTGTTTGTCTTTTTAATCCTTACATTTAAGTTTTAAATTATTCAAGTTATTGTAATTTATTTTATAATTATGTTATTTTAGGAGATGACACCTATATTTTATCAAGATTATTTTATGATTTACTTGTTTAAATAATATTTTTTAATTATTTAATATTTTTTCTTTAAAACATTTTTAATATTGTTTCTGTTTATGTTGTTTGAATTATAACTTCTTTTGTTTGTTTTTCTAAAATGTAAATTAATATTATTACTTTTTGTTTATTCTAAATATTCTTTGTAAATCTATGCAATATCTTAATCCTCAATATAGTAATCTGGATATTTCTATTCTAAATTTTATTATAAGAGAAGATGTTATTTTTAGAGTAAAAATTCCACAATTTATTTAAAATTAAACTTACAAGCATAATGTAAAGCTGAGTTACCATAAATATCTTGATGATTGATATTAGCTCCAACATTAACTAATATTTATAAGGTTTCTAACTTTCCACTATGTTATATAAATATATATATAGTACTAATATGCACTCAATATTAATGGTGTCATTTTATCTTCATTCTATTCATCTATTTGTATATCTTTATACATTAGTGCCTGAACTAAATGTGTATTACCATTTCTAGCAGCAAAATGTAGAGCTGTGTTACCATTTAAATCTTTTGAAGAAATCGATGCACGAAGCTCCGAATTTATCTTAACTTTAGGTGATAGGTTTACTAAATTTATTTTGATATTATTACATAAATTATGAACCAGAGTAGGTTCAAGAAATTAGAGACAAGCACCTGCTCTATTATAAGAGCTTTCCTTTAAAAATTATTCATTCAATTATATCCTTAATTTATCTATACCTTCTTGTTTTGGACTTTTCTATTCATTTGTTAGATTTTAATTCAAAGTTTCATGTTGTTTAGACTATTCATCCAAGGATTATAGTTTAGACAACTTTGTCATCTTAGAAGTGAAAGGAAGATTTAAATTTTGATATGTAGAAGTGGATCTATCTGAAAATAGTTTGTGTTATTGTTATTTGCAGGCAATTTATATCTTTGGAGAAGGTAAATTCATTTTTTGTTAAGGAGTGTGAAATTTATTTGTTTTGGGACTTCTGTTCTCTTAGATTTGCTTTAGTTTTGTTTGGTATTCATTAAGAGTTAATTTTCGATGACCGTTCATTATTTGAAGAGGTTTTAAATTAAATTAAAATATTTTTTGAATATCATTTCGTTGTTGCGGATATAATAAATTTAAGCGCAGTACTAATTTTAAGTATATTAAAAACATAATTATGAATTAAATAATTACGATAATAAATGATATTTATATTTGATATAAATATAATCAATTAAAATTAATATAATAAAATATGATATTTATCAAAATTTGAGGTTTGTTTTATATTATATAATAATTTTGTATTATATATATATTATTAGTTTTTTTTTTAAATATTGGATAGTTTACTCCATAACCTTAAATTTATATAAGCCACTAATAGATATTAATTCTAAACTAAAAAAAATGAGTTTAATTTTAACTTTATCTGTAATAATTAATGCAAAATCTGCTTAACAATTATTAACATATTGATAGTCAATATTAAAAATTAATTGAATATTTAATTATAATTATTTCATTAACTATTTAATTATTAGTAATTAATCTAAAAACAAAAAAAAATCAATATTTAAACAATTAAATGTGCTATTTATTTTTTACAATGCTTATAAAATACTAGTTTAGATTCAGTCTATAAATCTCTCTTGAAAAATACATCATTTTTTTAGAAAAATAATCAAATAATTAATATCTTATAATAAAATAACACAAATAATAACACTTAATAAAAATGGAATCAACTTGTATCTTCTTATTTATTGAATATTCATCAAAACTATTAAAGACAGCAAATGTTAAATGTTATAATATATCATAAATATATAAACTAATACATATAGATAGTAATACATTAAGAATAATTATATTCTATTAATTAACAAAAATAAAAAGTAGAAAGTTTCTATTACTTTATCACTTTCCTAAAATAAAAGAATTATTATATTATTCAATATTAAATTAATATAAATATTTTAAAATATTATAAAATTTCAAGTTAACTAAGCTAATTTTCTAATTTATATTAATTCATATATCTATTAAAATAAATATATATAAAGATATTAAATATATAAATAATAAATAAACAATGAATTCAAATTTTATGTTTTTTCTTAACAAATTAAATTATTTTATTTAATGAAAGTAGTTCAAAATCCAACACAATATTTCTTTGAATAATCAAATAATCCACCAACTGAATATTTATCAAAAATCAATGAATTTGTCAGCAAATTGCTTAATCAAAGATAATGCATTTTATGCAAGAATGATTACAATATGAAAGACAGGTTGCCTAGAATATTAATTCATTGTGGACATACAATTTGTACAGCTTGTCTAACTAATTTTTATAGGTAATATATAATATATATAATTTATTTAGAAATAGAAGAGTAAGATGTCCACTTTGTTTAAAATTAATTAAACATCTTGATTCAGTTGATAGATTACCAGTAAAAGAATAATATTAATAGATAGATTAATCATACAATTTTCACTAGAATGGCAGATGATATCAATAATAAGAGTAAATAACATGGAGGAACAGAAGTCATAGATCCACAATAATATTTGTTTACATAATTTTAATAATCAGCATTATAATCATAAAAAGCACGTCAATAATAACAAAATGCATATCCTTAAGTAGATCCAGATTCAGGATTAGAGTTTTGTGAATTTCATAATGATAGAGTTAAACATTTCTTTTGTATGAAACATAAAGTGACATGTTGTAGAGTGTGTTCAGAGATGATTCATTAAAAGAAAGTATGGATGAGTATAATATCAATAGGATTGTATTGTAGTGGATTTATATGAAATAGAAGATGTACCAGCATTTTTGAAAGAAGCATATAAATTGAATGAAGATAATACATAATAATAAAATTAAAGAAGAGAAGATATGGGTTTCATTTAAGATGGAGAAGCAAGTATAATTAATTAATTATGCATATAGATGATGGTGAAAATTAGTTTAATGATGATGATTTGGAAGATGAATTTGAGGGAAACAGTATTCAGAGCATATGAATATTTTAAATATTAATAATCATTTATATCTATAGTTTTGAATTTATTAGATTCTTCTTCTTTTTGATTCTTCAATGATATCAAATGTATAAATTGGTTATTGATCATTTTGTTAATTATATACTCTGGAATTATACAATTAAGAATTATTAAAAGGTTGAGATAATCCTTGGAATCTTGGTTGATATTAATTTTCCATTATTACATGTCTTTATTAAGAAGGTATTTGATATTCATTATAACGGTCTTATTATTAAGTTTAATTATAATTGGGAGGTTATCTTTGAAATCTTTATTAATTCTAATTTTATTCTATTTTAGGTTAGGGTAATCTATTTTATTAGTATTGATTATAACAAAACATAGCTCTAATTTAATATAAAATATATACTAACCCTTTATCACTCTAAAGTAGATTTTTAATAAAGGAATCTAACAAAGTATTTTATTGTGGCAACTTTTCTAATTAACAATCTTAATTAAAAGTTTGATTCATTGTTGGATAGGTCTTACCAAGAGTTTTACATAATCTGAATTATTATTAAATATGTATATTACACTTAATCATAAAGTTATATTCTTTCATCTATACATTAAGATTATCTTATTTTAGGATCCTAACAAAATATTTATGCTGTTTATTTCATAACTAGTTTTAGAATTGAAATCAATTACATTGTTATTCATTCATTTTTATCAAATTTTATTAATATTTTTATGGCTCATAAACTATCATAAAATTGGGTATTTTGGTATGCTCCAAGAGGTAGAAAAGCTATTGCAGGTTCAGATCATTATGATGTAAATTTGAAAGAAATTGGTGAATTTAATACAGTTGAAGAATTTTTTACATATTATTGTTTTTTAGGCAGACCTAGTGAAGTAAATATTAAAAAAAACTTATAGATTGATATTGATAATAAAATAATGTTATTTAGAAAAGGTCATAGACCAATGTGGGAAGAATGTTTAGAAGGAGGTACATGGATTATTCATTTTAAGAAAAGAGAAAATGAATTATTAAATAAGAAATGGGAAGCATTAGTATTTGGTATCAATTGTTAAATCATTTTAAGCATGTATAGGAGAAGAATTTGATGATGATAATGTAATTGGTGTAGTATTGTCTATTAGAGAAAGAAGAAATTTATTAGAAATATGGTTGAAAGACAGAAGAGAAAGTGAAAAATTAAGAATTGGAGAAAAATTAAGAGTAGCTTTGGAAATGGATCCAAATAATCTTACATTCTTTTTCAAAGAACATAATAAAAGCTTGAATGTATAATTGAAACTATGAATTAGGATAAATCAACTATGAAAGGAGCTGAATCATATACATTTGTAAAAACACCACTTGAAACTCCATAGACTGAACCAAAAGTACATCATCCAGATCTTGATCAATTTAAATTATGATTAATTATTTGCACAAATAAATTGGTTATAAATTTATTAATGAAAATTGATTTGACTATATACATTTCAAAATGTGAAATATTAAGGAGATTTATTTATATCAATTTAGATTTCTAATTTTATACTATGCAAATTCACTCTGTATAAATATTTAATTTGATTTGGAGATTGCAATTAAAAAATTTGGACAAAAATCTTTTACAAAGAATTGTATTTTTTTCAATTTTAAATAAATTTTCGATATGATTCTTAAAATTTAAGTTAAAATTATTGTACAAACTCACATATTTATTAGAGTATATTAATGTAGATTACTTTTTTGATTTTGAAAATAGGTAGGAGAATAGAAATGCAAACAAAATTAATTAAGCCATACAAATTTTATGCTGATCTTATTTTAGATGAAATTTATCATCTATAAAGTAATAGATGATTAAAATACTCATTATTATGTATCTTATTATATTTATCATATAAAATAATATCAAATTTTCATTAAACATTTTTAAACAAATTATTATCTAAATTCAACAATTCTTTTAAGATAACCATAGATGTTGTAGAGGTTAGATAATATAACATAATATATGATTAATATTAGAGTTTAGCTATTAATCAATATATTTTTTGAATAATTATGATGAAATATAAGAATCAATAAATTCTGTAAAACAATGACCAATTATAGATTAACTCTAACTTATCCAACAAAATCTCAAAATAAAATCAAATTAAATAAACCTAATAATATCAGGATGATGAGGATCAACCATCTATATACTTAAGTAAAAAATATGATCATTCAAAACCGACATTTCTAAGGACCTTTCCTTAATAACCTGTCGATTGTTAAGGAAGTGAAGATTTCATGGCACCTACTATTCTTTCCAATATAATCTCTAATAAGAGTGTAGAATAAATTGCTTTTAAGTCAGAACATAAAAAACAATAATAACTAAACTATCGTTACGAAACTTCAAATATATCCTCTTCTTAAAATTCTGTATTAAATTCCTTATTTATCAATTTTTTAGATGAGATCTATTTTGGAAGGTAGAAAATATAAATAAATCAATTAGGAAAAAGTCAAAATGATCATAAACTAAATTAAAGTCAAATTGTTGAATTTAATACATTATTCAAAATATAATGATCCTTTATTAACAAAAGAATATTAGGAATGTAAAAATCTTTTTTATAATTATATTTAGTATCACCTTTTAAATATCATTACTTTACTATGTACATTTTCTTATCAACAATCATTTCTAATTTTCTGGCATCTATTTTTATACCTTTAGTACAATTTTTTGAAGTACCATTACTTTTTTAAGTGTTGTCTCATATAATATTTGGATTTAATTTGATATCTATTTTTTAAGATTTATTTTTTTAAAGAGGTCCATATAAAATGTGTAGAGGAATTATCAAAGTCAATTATTAAGATGAATCAAAAAAAATATTAGATACAAGTCGAATGTTACTGTTAATATTCAACAATTTCTTTTAAATATCTCCTAATATAAAATGGTTAACTATTTTAATAATGATGATCTTATCATTATTAAGATAGAATGAAAGTTTTGAAAACATATATAGATCAACACATCATTTCATTTTTATTTGTTAATTGTGGATTACAGTTATAATATCCTTTGTTTGTACTTATTAAGGTATTATTATAATATAATTAGAGTTTTTAATTTGGATGAAGATATATCTTTATCTTACAGTATTGTATTAGCAATATCCTTTCTTACTCATTGTTCAAATATTTGTAAGAATATTATATTTATATATATTTTAGCAATTGAAATTACCAATCAAAACTCAGTTTTAATTTCAATTTATATGATTCTATCATATCTATGTCTTGCTTATACTTCAATGATATTTTATATTTGGTTGAAACCAGAAATAGAGATTCAAGAAGAAAAGTAGAAATTACTTAAAGGATTTGTTGAAAGATTTAGAGAGAAATGTGAAAATGATGATTTACTAAGGAGATGTTACTCTTATCTTGAATTTCGAATAGATGTACATGAATTATTTCAAATTTTTAAAGGAAGATCTCAATAAAGCCAAAGATCAATTAACAAAAAAGTTGAGTCCAGATTTGGAAGATGAAATAGAACTCTCTTTAAGATCTACAATGATTGATAAAATAGAATTAATGAATAGATTTTCGCCACATTTTAAATAATAATTATTATATGAAATAGAATAAGTGTAATTTAATCCAGAAGACAATATCATAATAGTATTAATATTTTTAGTAACAAAAGGAACATTAAGCAGATGATTTAGGATTATTTTACATATTGAAAGGCTAAGTGAAGGTGTAATTTTAAGGTTCCTCTTTTGGGACCAACAAAAGAGAAGTAGCTACCTTATCAGAAGGATAGACATTTGGATAATACTCTTTTATTACTGGAATTCCATCTAATATAAGTATTTTTAGTTCAGGATCAACTATCTTAATGAAATTAAAAAGATCTGATTTCACTTCTATTATATCAAATTATCCTTTTGATAATGAAATATTTTGTACAATGAAAGACAATGCATTTTACAATTAAAAAATCTTTGAATGTTATTATTGCAAAATAAGGGGACATTATATTGTAGAATGCAAACACATTTAATATTTCCCTTAAAGATTAAATACAATAGAGAAATATTTATATACAGAGAAATAATAAAGAAGAAGATGGACTAGAAGATTACGTAAGTGTTTTGCTTGGTAAGATCTAAGTTTAAATTAAGATAAAGCAAAATAATATGCTAATAAATAAAGTTAAGAATAGATATCTGATGAATTACCAGAAATTTCATAATTACCATATTCTGAAAGTAAAACACTTTAATATATTAGATTAAACATATTAGTCTGTAAGTTTTGTTAGTAATTCTATGGGTTAAAAGAATTTGAGTCCTGAATAATATTAATCATATAGCAATGTAGAGAGTTTTGAATAATTTAATATAGACTAAGAAATCTAAGATGAATAAACTATTCCTTTTTAAGAACATTAAGTTAAGAATATTCGTAAGAATTCAAATAAGACAACATTAAAAACAGCTGGTTTTGCAATAGAACCAAATTTAATTAATAATAATAATTTATCAATAGTTGAAAAGGATGATAAAGAAATCTTAAGTTAATTAGAACATTAAATGAATAAAGAAAAAACAATTCTATATTAAACTTCTAGGAATTACAATGCAAATAAGTTGACTTTTCAATATTAAAAGGAATAATCTTAATGTATACATAGAGAAGATTTAATAAAAACTGATTCATATTAATAATAATAATCAATAGCAATTTACCAATAATAATAACCTTCAAATATAAAATAATCAATTAGATAAACTTCAAATAGATCTAATACTTATACTAATTCACTTTCTAAAGATATTTCAAATAATCCATCTTCAAATTCTAGATAAAATAGATCCTAAAAATAATCTATGTAATCAAGTCAAGATAGAGTAATGGAATAATAGACAGGTACAAGAAAATTAAATAGTTCAAAGTCTTTAACTACAGAATAAAATAGAATCAATAATAATAAAAGTTTGAAATCTTGTACTAAAAGCACTCCAAATTAAATGTCATAATTTTAAGCATTAACAAGTCCTGAAGTAAATATTATTAATAAAAATTAGAATTAAGGATATTACTTAAATGATATTTTATTTAATAAATTCGAAAAAATGTGTGAATACAAGATATATAATCCACATAATAATTATAATTAGGTAATAAATAGATATAAAAAATATATTGAATCATAGAGTTATAATAATTTATGTAGAAAAAAACATTTATCAACATCATCTTATTCTATTAAATGTTTTGTTGTATCAAAAATAAAAAAAGTGAAGAAATTACTTTGAATTTTCAAATTTATTTGATTGCTTATATATTTATTAATTTTAATAGCTTAAAATAAAATTGTTTTGATTAAAAATAATCTTATTTTATGTTTTAATACATAAATTAAAATGATATAAGAATTATCCATAAGTATATTATATAATAAATTTATTATTATATATTTTCAATTTTTATATTTGAATTTTTCAAATAATCTATAGATAAATATAAAATTAATTATATTTATGTCACAAAAGAATGCAGGACAGTATCTTCTAAAAGAATTGTTGATTTTCTTGGCTCTCCTTTTAGGTAATGATTATTAATAAAGTAGGACTATATTAATCTTAAGGAGTTGATTCAATTTTACCAATTACTTTAAATTCAATAATTGTATTAATTTATCTATTCTTTAAATATAAGAATAGTACTCATATTAAGTAAGTTTGGATTATTAAGATTATCTTCATTTTAATTCAAATTTCAATAAATATAGAAATGTGTTAATTTTGTATGATAATTGTACATTTAATTGAAGATGATATCATTTAAACATTTATTTTAAGCACAGTGTTTCTAATAAATCTAATATAAGAATAAAAAAATAATTATGTGACTGAAATTCCATTCAATTTATTATATTTTATTAATGTAGTATTTTTATTTAGTTTGATGTTTATGAAATGGAAATCTGTTAAATCTAATGAAGAATTTGTAGATTAAACATTTAAAATGAAATCATTAGAATGTATATCTAATCAATTATAATATATTATATAGTAAAGGAATCAATAAAAAATAGAGATTTAATAAGCAAATCAAATTAATAATAGTCAGTTAGCTAAGAAATCAATGCAATAAAAATGGAATGCAATGATGATGAATTAATTTTATAGAATGTAGCTTGGATACAAAATTAGTCTGCCTTAGTTTATAATAAAAAGCTTAATATAGTTTATTAGAATATATTTTTAGGGAAATTATTAAAATAATCAAATTTAGATGAATAATAAACACAATAACAATCAAAGCCAGACTATGAAGAATTGTTCCTTGATTGTTAGATTTTAGTTGGAAGTAAAGAGTTAATGGAAATCAATAGCAATAATAATGATTAGTCTATGAATAGTGAGTAATTAAATTAATTAATAATTTAAAGTGGCTCATTTTTGCTAAGTAGAGTAAATGATTATCATAAATGCCGAATGAAGTCGAATCTGACAATTAGAGATTTGAGTTTGATGATGCAAAACGAGATCGATAAGTAGTTTAGTTGGAATTAAAGAGATGGCGGCCAAGTATGGTGACATTGTTTAGATTGAGAAGCGATGTGTTCGATTTTGAGAATATCCAAATCAAGGCTTTTGTGAATAAGGTCAATGAATCCTCCTTTTTAATCTTCCTTTTTGAACAGTAGCCTCCTTAAAAAAAAAAGGATGACAACACTTAACCAATTATCAACATATTTTCGACATTTGTGCATGAATCTGTAAGTTATATTAATTGTATATTAACTCTAATTTTACTTACATAACATGAACATGAAAATACTCTGAAAATATCATTAAAACATCATTATTATATGCCTATGAGAATGATGAGTATGAGATACATTCTATTTGTTAATAGTATGAGGGATTATATATTTTTTATATAAAATTAGTTATTTTTGAGAATTTCAGCATTTAAAGTAAATGATTTAATTGAAGAATTATTAATTATATATGAAGATAATTTAAAAATTAGAGATGTAAGTTTGACAACATCAATAGATTTAAGTGATAATAATTAAGTTATATTTAGTGATTTAGATAGAGTATAATAATTATAATTAAATTAGTTAAAATAAATCCTAGCATGTTTATTATCCTATTGTTTAAAATATACATCAGCATCATAATTAAAATTAGATATTAAAAGTTATACTGTAAGTGGTATTATGGTATCTTTTAAAGATAGTATGATAGCTAAAGATGATAATACAAGAAAATCAATTTCAAATTTAGTTAGATTACTAAATTCAACACTTAAATTAAATTCATTTTATGATGTTGATCTTAATAATCCATTAGAATTATAAATTTGTATAATATTATGTTGGTAATTGTCTGGTACATTTAAAAGAGGTCTAGAATTTTTGTATGATAGTTAAGGATATGGCACTTTTACTTTTGTAATAGAATCCTAAACAAATTAATAAAGAATGCAATCTCATTAAGATACAGGTCCTATTAAAATTTTAGGCTAAAGAAAATATTATGAAACATCATTATCTTTATTATTGGCATAAGATAGTAGTGGTTATAGAGAGGAATCAAAGTAATTATATATTTTATTCTAGATATTTTTCATTAACTTAATTATCAAAATAATTTTCTATTAAACCAGGAGATCCATTTGATGTTTAAAGTGCATATTTCTCATAAATTTCAAGAATTAAATAGGATTCATCAAATTCTAAATAAGTTTAAAATTCTGGATCAGTTCCTAGATAATCAAAAGAATAAAGTAATAGTTTTTCTGGTACTTGGAAATAAGGATTTCCTGATATAATTCAATAACCATATAAAAAAACAAGAAATGAAAGAAATGAAAAAAGTGACTCTTAACATGATTCTATGAAAACACATTCTAATTTTGATTTTGGAGCTGAAATGAGCAATCCATCTATTCATCCTCCAGAATTAACTCCAAAATTACTATCATCAGTAATTAAATTCAGATTAAGATTGACTTGTTGTGCTAAAGTGTTAATTGTTGATAATGATCATTATAGTGTTTTTTCATTGTAAAAAGTCTTAGAAAAATACAATATCAAATGTGATAAGGCATTTAATGGTATAGATGCTTAAAAATTAATATAAAATAAACAAAACAAACCATGTCATTGTGGAAACAAATCTTATCTGTTATATTTTATAGAATTTTATTTACCAGTATATAAATTTTTAAATATATTTAGATTTTATAAGGAATAGATTTAGTAAGATCTTTAAAAGAGTAAATGAGAAATAGTTTAATTGATAAGGGATACGTAATTATAATAGCTACCTTTGTGGATTTAAATTAAAAATTGGAATGTTTTAAGAATGGAGCTGATTATTTTATTGCCAAACCATTTGATTTGATAGATATTGGAGCAGCAGTTTAATATTTAGATTTTTGATAGTTAATTATATATCATTTGCCTTTTGATAAACAATTAGATCTTTATCTAGTGTGAATTACTTAATCAAACAATAATTCCATTTGAATTTAAGTAGAATGTTTCATTGATTTCTTAGACATATCTAATTCTTCAGCTTTAAACACTTGTTCTCTTGGGGATAGGGATACAAAATTAGTGTTAAACCAAGCTTATAAGATTTTGGATTCTGATACAATTGACTTATGGAATATTTAAATGAGAACATCTCCTTATAAAAATATATCATTGAATGCAAAAAGTATTTCTTTATCTGATACAATCTAAGCCTTCTCTATTAATTACCTATCATTATTTTAGACTCTTATCATTGTTCCATGAGATACACCTACTAATCTTACAGATACTAATTCTATTTATCTAAATGGCATTTTAACCAACTCATTTTTTAAGGCATAACTGAAATAATGAACATATCGAATTTAACTGGGAATTGTTACACCCTTTTTATTTTATGTTCTAACTAAACCATAATAAGCTAATGCATCTTAACTTGAAGTGTATTTTCCACTAAATAACAAATAGCAACACACCATAACACCAGTTCTACCTTTACCAGCTTTACAATGAATTGCAACAACATGATTAGAATTTGCTGTTAACCATTCATGAACTTTTTAACAAAATTCGACCATCATATTAAATGGAGGTGCTTAATGATCATCAAAAGGAAACTCGGCCACTTTATAGAAAGACTCATGTTTGTACTTACGCTCTGAACATCTAGGTAGGAGTAGTAAGCTTACAAGTTAATAACCATATAATTGTTTGGATGACGACTATTTAAAAATTTTTAAACCTCCGGCATTGGATTTCTATATATTGCTTCAAAACTTTCAGCAGGGAATCCCATAGCTATTACATTATCAGTTATATCTAAATTAAAATATTAATTTTACATGTTAAATCTAAATTGAATCCATCTACCTTAAATCTCTTCTTCTATTTGGAAACTAATTCTTTTATTATTTCTCTTTGATATGCTTCTTTTGCATTTTTAGTTGATTTCAAAGTTATTTCATCTGCATGATTTTGTAGAACTATTGTTTCATTAATTCTTCTATCCATATTTCTATTGAATGAAAGCTCACTTGGTATTTAAGTGATAGATTAGTCTTAATCATATTTTTTTTGTTTCTATTTTATTTCTACTGGACTTTAATTGATTAAAGGACTCTCCATATCATCATCCTCATCACTTGAAATATAATTAAGAATCATAGATTCCTATATGTCTTGCATTTAGATCATCAATAAAATTTATTATACTATATTAATGTATATATATTTTAGGTAAATTTTAGCTGAATTATTTATAAATCTAAATTTTTAATTTGAGTATATCAATCATTTCTATTGCAAACTAAACAGATCTCTTAATAAATATCTGTATTTATTCATTTTCAATACATATCCAAAATAAAAATACTTATTATCCTAGAATTTATTTAATAGAAAACCTTTAGAATTGTCAATTCTTAAATTTTATTAGACATTGTTTATTTAATAATCAATATTGATTTAGTTTTAGATATTATTTTGTTATTAGCTAGATAATAAACAATTAAAATTAAAGTAATTATATCTACTTTAACATTAAAGATTATTAATAAAATAAAAAGATCTTCTGATTAATTTGAAATAAACATTATTATCATAATCATAAAAAGTATTGAAATAATTAAATTTATAGAGTATTTGTAATTTATGGATATTTAAAAAAAATAATAACAAATAATTAAAGAATATTTTGAAATAATTACTGAAACCTTCAATCATGATATTAGTTCTTTTAAAAAAAGAAGCAAAAATATTAAGATAATAATAATTATCATTAAAAAATATAATCAAATATCGAAATTACAGCAAAAGAAAAGTTTTTACCAGAAGGATTTTCCATCCTCTAGATTTTAATCTTTAAACTTTGTTGTTGATAACTAAACATTTTAATTTTATTAGGCAATTGAACTAACATAATGAGAGTCTAATTTTGTCACTTTGAGTGTAAATTAAGTGATATTTGTTTTGCCTAATTAGGTTTTATCAGAAAAAGCTTATAGAATATTAAATAGTAATTACCTGGAAAATCTTCATTTGGTTTTCCATTCTTTTTTTTAGGTATATACAATTCATAAAGGAGTGATCCATCTTCAATAAATGGGAAATGAATATAATCATGTTGTAAATTGAATTCTTTTATAACTAAAGTAATAAAATCAGAAATTAAAGTGTCTTAAGTTGCTGATACATAAATTTCATATTTATTATCAATATTTTCATCATACCAAAAAACATTATATAGTTTTTGTTTTCCAGTTTAATAGGACTAATAGTCATATGAATTGAATGATTACCTCTTCTTAAATGATTTAAATTGGTTCTACACAGGATTGAGATCCTCTTCTTTATGGAGGAATGTGATTGAGTTAAAGTAAGCTTTCTTTAAAATTATAGTTATAATTACTTTGAGTTCTTTTTTATTTTAAATTTTTAGAATTGTCTTGTAACATATTCAAATTAGCATTACTTTGTTTAGATTGTGTTGATGTTGATTATTCTTAAATAGATAGATTTTCATCAATAATAAGATCATACTATTCATCTTTTTCACATTGTTATTTCATTCAACTAAGTTATTTTTTTATAATATTATATGTATAAATAAATATTTTCTATAATAAATAATTTATACTTAATTAATGGATTTAAATTGTAGAGTTAAATGTGCATGTGTAATCAATTTAAGTACATTAAGCAAACATGGAATCTTATCATTGGTAGCTGAAAACCCAGTATTCATAAATGATTTACAATAAGAAGCTTAATTATTATATTAGCAAATTTTGAACTAATAAGATTCATAAAATGCTCCTTCTTTACCTGTTTAAAAGATTTATTCATAATCAGGAGCTTGGTATTGTTCATTAAAGAACAATATAGTAATTAGTTTATTAGTTACATCCTCTTATCCAATGCCAAGTGCTATGAGATTGTTAAAACAAATTGAAGAATTATTAAAGAGATAAATATAAAGTGGGAAATATGAATTTCAACCCTTAGAACCAAATTTAAGACATGTATACTTTTTCATCAATAATAGTTATTAACATAATATGATAGAGATCCTTTTACAGATGATAAAATTGAAATAACTTGTAAGTCTGTTGATTCTATCCAAGGATTAATGGAGGAAAACTTAAGAAAGTTTTAAATGAATTAGGAACAACTACATGTTATTCATCACAAGAGTACAGAAGTATCTCAAATGGCTAATCAATTTCAAAAAGGAGCAGCAGCAGTTAATACTAAATAAAATTGGGTTGCTTACTTAGCTATAGGAATATTTGGAGCTCTTGTTATTGGAGTAATCATTTATATCTTTTTATGATAATAAATTTAGTATATATAAACTATATAACAATTTCATTTTGCTGTATGTAATCTAATATATCCAGGTTCAGTTGGATTTCTGAATTACTTTAAAGAAGGACTTCTACCCATATTTGTACTTTAAGTGACATTCTGAAAGGAATGTAAAAATGAAGTTGTGACATGACTATTAGATTATAACTCCTTTGTTTGACTTATAGAATGAGCATGTTTGTATTTCAAAAGTTCTAGATTAGTTTCAATTAAAAATTCTTTTAAATCTGGTCTTCTATTAAGTATACTTTTGGAAGGTTATTATTTAACAATTCTCTTTAATTATTTAGATACTTTTAATTTAGCCCCAGATATACCTGGATCTGATTCACTATATTTTAAAAAACAACTTTCACAAATTAGAACTGATTTAATTAAAAAAGCATCATTCACTTTTAATTATTCAAATAATTGCACTGTTAAATGTGGATAAAGCTTTAATATAAGAGGTGGGATATGTGAATGTATATCTCTAAGATGACCTTCACATTATTAGAAGGATTTAGGCTTAATTATTTCAATATTATTCACAAGTGGATGTTAATTTACATCTTAATCAAAATGTTTAATGATATATTCATAAGTCAAATGGTATAGATCTAAATATAATTTCATATATTAACCTTTTTATTGGCATAATAATCCACATTCAAAACATTCAATATCTTTAATTAATGCTACTGGATGCATTGTATTTACTGTTAGCATATTCTTAATTGAATATGGTTTTTGGAAATTAGTATTAAATGGAATTGGAGTATTATTCTTTTTTACATTTATATTACCCCATAAAGGTTTATATAACTTTATTTATGATTGGGCTTCTCCTTATATTCTTATTGAAGAAGAATATAAAAACCATACTTTATTATTCTATACAAAATATATACACTATTAATTACTTAATCTGCTTTAAAATAAAAAACTATTCTAGATAAATTAGTTTGTCCATAGCTCAAATTTGTTATTTTTTGAACTATCATTTAACATTGTTTTCTTATTTCTTACGAAATCTCCTTTCCCCTTAAAGGAATTACTCTAGAGTAAGCTTCTCCTCCATCAAAGGTTGTACACCTTTCTATGATAGACAATATCTATACCATAAGGATCATATGCCATATCATATAAATCACGGTTGTTTTATTTTTTTGAAAGTATACAAACAGAAGGACTCCAAATTGCTTAAATCAAAGATTCATGATTTCCTAATGGTTCTATAAACTTTTATAAAATCCCAGAAGGTGGTTTGTTTTGTGAATTAACGAAATCAGGAAACATTTGTTTTGTTAGATAATATATGCAAATCTTTTCATCGAAATCTAAAAGAGACTTAGCCTTTTTTGATTAATTTGGAAAGGTTTTTTCTTCTTTAGGATCAGAATGATTATATTTTTGAGGGTATATATAGTATGCAATAACTTATCCATTAGGTTTATCACCTTAACAAAAATGTTTAATTAGATTTTCAGATTTTCTAGCCTCTGATTTCTTGGTCATAATCTCTCCTTCCTTACTGGTAAAGTACCAAACCTAAATTTAGATAATTATTATTACTTAAGGAACTCCATTTTTATAAATTAATGTGTCTGGTATTCTAATTTGAAATGACTCTTTTAATAATGATTCATCTTTAAACCATAAAAAATGATATATGTTATATGCAACACCATTTGTATTTGTTATCATTTTTAATAATTTATTTTTAAAGAATAAATTATAAATAATTAAGTTAACAGAATAATTATATAAACTATCTATAAAAATAAAAATAGTATTATACATTTGAAAAATCTAAATGAATTTCATTAGTTATATTAATAATTGAATTAGAAATATATAAATATATATAGTAAGTATATGTATTGAATATTGTATTAAGAATCAGAAATTATATTTGATGTTAAACTTAATAATAAATGTTTTATACTTGTTCATTTATAAATAATACTTTTTACATTTTATTATTAACATAAACAGTAAATTATTTAAAATAAATTAAAGATGAATTTAAAGAATTCTTAACTACATAAAAAATCATAAACTAGTTATTTGAATTATATGCTTGATGCTCGTCTATCAAAAATAAGACAAAAAACAGCAATTAAATTAAAAGAAAATGAAAGTAAATTTGGAGATGATCATTTTTAATTAAGAACAGATTATAGTGATTCATTTAATTGTTAAAGTTGTTAATAACAATAATTAATAATTAATGAATTAAAAGCATAAATTTAAGAATGTTAGAAATAGATAGACATTTTATAAATAGAAAAAGATGTCATATAAAAAAAGGAAGAATAAACAATAAAGTTGTTGATATCCGAAATAGAAAAAGCAAAATTAGATTAAAAAAGATGTTCAACTGAGTTATAACATTCATTAATTTAATTTGCTAATGAAAACATATTTAAATAAAGTTAAACATTGTCATTTTAGGATAGATCAGATGAAACTTGTATTTTAAATAATCAACTAAAATAAATTAAAGAATAAAATGCAAATTATGCTGAACTTTTACATCAATAATATGAATTCTCAATAAATATTAATATTAAATTTGCTTAATTATCAAACTCATTAAATACTTTAATCACTTTAGTTCAAAAATATACAAGAATCATAACTCATATACAAATGTAAAGTTCTCCATAACTTGATTTATTACTTCCTAATCCTCTTGATGATCATTTCAAATAAGATCATCAATAATAGTTACTTTTTATTGATTTACATGATATGACAACTAAAATATAATAGATTTAAATTGGTTCTTTAACAGATGTATAATCTAAAATAGAAACATTGATTCAATTAGTAGCAGATTATTTGACATAAGCTTAAAGAATAGCAATAAATGATATGAGTAGAACTATTGTATGATTATATATACTAATAATATGGGTATAAAAATAATAAATCATCTACTAAATTTATCAAATTATGAAAATGAAGATTACATTTTATCTCTGGTTTTTTCAAAATGATATTTTGGTATAATTCCAATAGTTCCTGTAATATAATAGGATCCTGGACCTATTTCTTCTTTTTCTTTTGGAGGAAATCTAGCTGCTTTTCCGAGACTAATAATAATATACAAAAATTAAAACCTTGATCTTGGACCTGTATTAAATGGTAATGAATAACTTCCAGGACCAATGTTTTTAAATTTCGAAAGCACTGGATCAGATCTATAACCTTTTGTTAAACTGGCATGTGCTGTTTAGGCCTTAGTGTAATGTTCAAGAGGTTTTGTAAATGAATCTTAAACAAGTTGAGAATCTGGGTCATATTATCCTGGCCCAGGTGTATTATTATGATTTCTTTGTTCATATTTAAGACGAATAGAATAATTTGGACCTTATAAACTTGAGTTGATATCATATTTTCCTGGAGAAGGAACTCTATCTCTAGATAATCGAAATTCAGTATTAGGATTATATCTTTCACCAGTTCCCATAGATAATTAAGATTTACTATGTGTAATTCGAGTGGGAACCATTTAAGGATCATGAGAACCAGGTCCAGGTTTCAATAATGATTCTTTTGTAACAAGTTATGATCTATTTTATTTTAACATTTTAATTTCTTTGGCAGTAGATGGATGAGGAAGTTTAGGATCATGAGCTATTATATATAATTGTAATTACCTCCTGGACCAGGATCAAAATAATCAGTAGTCAAAATAGGAATATATTTATGACCAAAACTAAATGCTTTTTTAAATTAGTTCATAGCTGGAGAATAAGTATCAGGACTTGGTACAATTTTATGAGATGGTAATTCTCTTTCACCTTTTGGTATAGAATATTTTGGTGCTAATTCTTAAGATACTTCTCTATAATCTCCAGGTCCAACATCAATTGATTTTGGTAATTATAATTTTTTTGCAGTTCCAAATCCAGTCTTCTTTCCTTTATTAGTAGCCCAACTTGTGGCAGTTTTAAATTAACTGAAAGTTTCAGAATTATAATATTAATCTGGTGAAGGCCCTTCTTTAGCCCATTTAGTTTCTTATTTATAACCAAATCCAAAAACTGGCTATGAATGTTGATTAGTTAAAGATGGATTATATGATCCAGGACTAAAATATTTAATGTTGCTACCCTATTGGATGTTCTTTGACAACTTCAGGTTTATGAATTGCCCAAGTTTAATGTAAATCTAATTCACCTCCAGATAATCTTTTACCCATTGATGTTTAAATAGTATACATTTACTTGATCTTATCTTGATATTCTTTAGTTTAATTTTTCTCTAAAAGAACTTTAAGTTATTCTTCATCAATAACTTAAACATTATGAATATTGTATGCTCCAACAGGTGGATTAGGTGCTTTTACTGGTTTCATTTTTTCATCTTATGGTAGATTAGATTTTCTTCTAGATATTTTACTAGAAAGTCTAGATTCAGTTCTTCTAAGTTAATCATCAAATTTTTTGCATCCCTCAACTTCTAGTTTACTAGAAATCAAATCATCTTTTTTAACCCATGGTAATCTTTGTGATTCACCAAATGTAAAGGCTCCTGAAAATGTTAAACCATGAGGAGTGGTTCCCGTTGTACTTTGGTTCATATAATTTTTATTATTTTATTCTAATAATATAAATTTCAATAGATTTTCAAAATTAGTTGTTTAAGTATTTATTTGGATTTTTTATGGCTGTTTGTAAAAATGTATCAAAATCTTCCTATTTTAATTTCAATTTTTATGCTTCATCCCATAAGATTATAGCAGATAATTATTAGGCTTAAGATAAATTAGAAGTCTATAATTTAAGTTTTAACAATTTAGAATAAAATAATCTTTGGCTTTGAGAATCACATTTCCTTGATTATTCTTCTAAAAATCCAATATCATTAATTGAAATATTAGTTAATATTTCACTTTTGGCATTAATTTTAAGTGGAACTTGTTAAGTCGACATCTTTTTATGTAATTGTCTAGGCAGAAATACTTAAGTTGATTCAATATTCATCCATTTAGGACTTTTACTCTTTAAAAAATTTTGATTTATAAGATTATTATAATGTTACTATTCCCTTTTTAAAGTATTACATTCTTGAATTTTTTTATTAATTTATTCTAATAATTAATCTTTTGATACACTATTATTATCTTATTGATCAGCACTCAAACAATATAATTTATTACTGTATTGATTTGATTGACTGTCTTATGTCTTTATATTCTTGGTTTTAGTCTAAGAACTTTATTGAATATCTTGTTCTTATTTGATATCTAGATTAGATCTCAAAATTGATATTTTTTATTCAATTAGTACTTGAATTCTTTCAATATATAGACTTAGATTTAATGATGATTTTGGTATGTATTTTATTTAATTGATTTCAGCTAAATAAGATTGACAACAAGATATTTCTACTTTTCCTATAGTTGAAATTTGAATAACAAGTTCAATTATTCTAATGAGTCTAAGGGCTAATATATTATTCTATTTTTCCATTAAACTCATTCTAATTTTTTGTAACTTAAAGTGATTCTCTTCTAATAATGAGTAAGTTTTATCAATATTATTGATGTTCTTTGTTACTTGAGTACAAACTAAAGCATGTTTATTAGTTTGATCATATCTTATATATTCTTAACAATTCATGCAAAGAATTAATAATTAAGAAGGTTCTTCTTCTACTTATTAATTGGTTTTGCATCTTTGTTTGAAAGACTTGAAATAATTCATCGTATATAAATGTTAATTATTTATTGACTTAATAAATACTAAAATTTGTATGAAAGAATCTGTTAAAAAAAGTGGATTATGAATAATAATTAATTTAAATATCTTATAATCATTAAATGGGACTTTCCTGTATGACATTATAATTTAATTACAATTTGACCGCTTCAACAATTTATTAATCACATCCAATATTCTATAAAGACTCAATATAATCATCGATTTATTTTTATGTCTATTCTTTTGTTACATCTAAAATATTAAATATATCAATTAATTACTATTTTCAGCAAAAACACTAGTATTATTGGCAAACAAAGTTTATAATTGAATTGCATAATTAATCCAGATTTATGAATTATGTAATACTGCATGATTTGTTAATCCTTCTAAAAATATTAAATTAAATATTAATACCAAATACACTCATTTTTATTTCTTAATTATCATTTGGTAATTATATTAATTTATAAATTGATCTAGTTAATTAATAAGCATCTATTATTATATTAGCATAATCATTTTTTTTATTACAATAATCTAAACATGTAATAATTAATTTATGTAATGAAACATAACCTTCAGGACTTACTTAAAAATCTGTTGTATTTTATAAACCATCTTCTTGATTCAATCTTAATTTAAGTATTTTATCTAATGATTGAACATAGACTGCTGGTTATGTTTGTTGAAGTAATTCATTCAATTAAGTAACTGTTTCATCTGTAACAATATTATTAAACATAGCACTTTAAAACATTTTCATATAAATTTAATTGGTTTCTTTGAATTATAAAGTAGATTCTATTTAATTTTCAGAAATTGTAGTTTAATCAAAGATAGGTTTCTTTTTTTTAATTGTCATTTAATTATCTGGTTTGAAATTCAATTATGAATGAATAAATGATTTATAGTTTTCAAAATTTAATTTACTAAGAAGTGGTTTATCAGATGGTTAATCTTTAAAGAGTTCATTTAATTCATTTTTAG